TGGTTGCAGAAATCGCTAATCGGTTGCTAATCGGTGGACTAGCGATTAGGGATTAATCGGCTAGGCGGGGATTAATCGGGGACCATTAATTATTAGGAAAATTATTCAAAAATTTATAAATCTAATTTCAATCCTACAAAAAAACGATTAATCGGCGATTAGATCCGATTAGGGCCGATTAGGTCTGACTTTGACCTGCGTTGACCAAACCCGATTAGGTCCGATTAATTCTGACTTTGACCTGTATTGACCAAACCCGATTATAGTGACCGATTAGCAATAAATCTCATCGGTGGAGGTCCGATTAGCGATTAATCGCCGATTAATCGGCCGATTAGGCCGATTTCTGCAACACTGGTTCATTATATATCAAAATTTAGTCATGATACATCAAAATTATGTTATATTAACTCAAACACATGCTTTAGTCATAATACGTCCAACTTTCATTGTATACAAAACTTCATGAACTACATGATTTAGTCAGAATACATAAAATAGGATACAAAGAACACATCAAACTTTCAAAACTACATCTTTAACATACAAGAAAAATAACACAAACAATGCAACTTTATGAGTAAACAACTTCCACTTCACTTTGTCCAGTTTTTGTCTGAAAACCAAATCAAAGTTTTTCTCTTCTTCCTGCAAATACTAATTTCGTTTTCCAAATTTCCAAGTTTCAATGTGAGGTTGTAGATTTGTCCCAAATCATCGTTCTTCTCTACTGTGTAGTCATCCTCTTCCATCCATTCCCAGAAATTACATTTTGGAGTTCTTGCACTCTTCAAGAAAAGTATAAAAAAATGTTAAATTGAAGAGAAGATGAAGAAGAAGATTTAATTAGGGATAATTAAAAAAAACTGATTTACCAATGAGTTTTGACAAACTCGAATTTTTTTTCCAGGATTGTCGGGTGTTCTTGAAATCTTCAAACGAGATGTCATCTCACACTTACATGGATGGTCAACTTGCAATTCGACATTGCGTTTGGAAGAGACAGATGAAGCAAAAGAAGAAGCCATTGTCGATATAGGGCTTTAACATACGAGCGACCCATATAACACCCTTTATATAATGAACTGATGTGTAGTATGCCACGTAGATGCCATGTACTATCTTGTATATGCCAACCAAACATTGATTTAGCTACATCAGTTGAAATATGCGTTAGCCGGTAATATTGGTGTAAATTGAAGACGTAAAACAAGTTAGTTGACTTTATGTGTAAAAAAAGAAAAAATTACCAATCCCTCTCCCTCTTTCTAATAAAACTTCTCTAAGGTGCCACATGTTTTTTTTTCTAAACCCCACACGTGACATTTTCTAAGGCTTTCTTAATTTTTTTTCCCGCTCAATTGATCATATTAGTAAATCATCCCTGAAAATTAGCAATTATAATTTAAATTTACGTTCTGATAAGAATAGACTTTCTAACTATACAAACGAGAAATCAGCAATTGATGAGGGAGATTGCTGAGTTGATTATTAACATAATATAGAAGGTAATTCGTTTCCAAAAATTTTTCTCAATCTCTCTAACCATAAAATCTTGATATATATGCGGCTTCTTCTTCAATATGATGATCAAAAAATGCAATGATCCTTCTGGGGTTTTTTCCGTAGAGACAAAAATTTTCAAATTCGTACATTTGGGCATTTGTGGACACACCAATCCTTTAAAATCAAATATTTCTTGGTTTTCAAAGAAGGTGAGTTCATATTCTTTTACGATTTCGTCTGTATCTTTCAATTTCTAAACCTATTTAACTGAGTTCATAGTCATTTATATAACTGAGTTCATAGTCGTTTACATTAGTTATTCTTTTTACCTTAGACCTAATACGATTTATGTTGATTGGATTGAAGATAGAGTTATTTCCTGGTTTTTCACCTTCTTTTGATTTTGGTCCATGTATTTGATTGATGGTTTGAAATTAACGAGTTTGAAAAACAATGATAGAGATTTAACTTTGCGGAGTTGTTGTGCAACCTCACTGTTGGAGAAGCAATCTGATCCTTGCATATGATTGCCCGCCAAGTGTTTGCCAAAATGCTTGAATGAAAGGCTTGATTCTATTTGTTCGTTTCCCTGCTTCGAGTTTAGCCCCTTGCGGGTTAGTGTGAAAAGATATGTGTTTTCTTACTGTTTTCATGAAAATTCTTTGTTTTGTTTTTGTTGAGTTAGTTTGAATCATTATCTAATTTGTGTGTGGCTTTTTAGGAACCAACTACAACTACTCAATTCGGAGCATTAATAAAACTTCTATTTCATCTTTTTTGTATGAAATAGTTCACTGTGCATAATTCTGTAGTACAAGAAAGGCTGTTTAAAATTTAAATTACTGTTGGCATGATTATAGATATGAAAATTATTTATGTGCTATTATTTCAATAATCAAATGGAAGAAAACCATTTGACCCTTTTTTTTTCACTCATACAGCTATCCCACTCTAACTGCAGCTAGAAATCGAAAGAGGTAACCTCTGAATCCTTTCCTTTACTTTGCTTTGTTTGAAATTCCAAATATGCCCACATATGAACTTCTGTTATGCTTAATTTAAGCGCCACCGCCCGCTTTTGTACTTTTAGTTGGATTTTTTTGGATTTCATTGTTTATTTGCTTTTTATTAAATATTGCAATTGTTTTTTTTATGGTTTTATCTAGGTTGGATGGGGCAATTTCTACTTGGACATTTTTACCTATTTGGTCATATATTGTCCTAATACGATCATATGGTATTATTATGATAAAAGATATAGAATTAGGTATTGTAGTATGTCCTTTTACATTAGTATTACGTGCAGGTACTGTAGTATAAGAGATACTTTGATTTCGTATCACATGGATTGTTATGAGAGATTGATTAATAATAAGGATTAGGACAGATTAAACAATGTTGAATGCATGGATTTGTGGATGAGCCGAAGAGTTATGGTTGCTATATTTTAGGATGTGAGTAGTCTGCAGGGGCAAGTTGTAATCACAACATTATTTGGGATTTTCATTTGAAATTGTTGGTTTGTGATTAGGAGGTGAAGACATCGTTTGGGCAAAAATATTGATTTTGGGTTGTATGAATTTGTCATATTAGAGCTTTCTACTTTTTAATAATGCATTCCTGATTTTTTTTTTATTAATATCCAGGGTCTTATTATTATTATTATTATTATTATTATTATTATTATTATTACATTGACCATTTCCTAAATTAACTATTTATGGACCATTCATTTTTAATAATTTGTTCACAGGGACCATTATATAAATTTACGTAATATACTTTGTCTAACTGTGTTAAGAGTTGCTTTCCAATGCATATGTTTACATTTTACACTATATATCAATGCAGTTTTCGGTTTTTCATATTAGGTCTTCCTATTTTCATTTTTAAGTTTATATAATTTATTTTTAAAGTACAGTGTTACACGTTATTAACAATTTCATTTTTTTATAATTCTAAAGGTTACAATCTATATTAACCAAGTTGGTAATATCCCCAACAACCAGGAAGTATGATAATAAAAACCATGCTATTAAAAATAAAACATAACAAATAAAGAAGTTATACAACAATTACCTTTAGTGTGTTGGTACGAAGAGTGATTGGATGAGGCTTTTCAAAAGCTTCAGTTAGTTCCATATGTTCAACATGTGGAAAGATCTACACAAAAGGTAACATTACAGACTATTAGAATTTGGACAATAGAAAAATTATCCTACAAAATATCAAAGATTTAATTACCTCACAAATGTTTCCACTTGAATATAATGCACTAATTTTTCACTTGAATCACTGTTATCTTGACTAAACACATTGTCACCATCATTTTCTTCCTTATTTAATGATTCATAAAATTTTCAATTTGTGTTTACCTGTCAATAGAAGAATATGTGCTTGATCACAAAAGATGATTTTTTTTTAAAAGCCAACACCTAAACAAAAATCGAGAGAATTATGCAAAAATATCAAACACAGATCCTAACAATAGATTATGATAAACACAACATTATAGTTTTCTATGAAAAAATATATATCGGCTAAACCAAAAATTAAAAGTTCAAAATGTTTCAATGTCTAAAAAAGGCTAACATTACCCAAAAATAACATCACTGACGCATAATTCACAATCCATCTTCTTGACTCTGTTGTTCGTGCTCTCCGATTCAAAGGCACCTTCGACTTGGTCACCCATTTATACCACATTCGTTGTCTTCCAAAAACATCTCTCCACTCGATCTGTAATTTGTTATTATTTCATTATCGTTGTTTGTCTTCATAAGTGATCTGTGGTGTTCTAAGACGATTCATTTCAAAAACATATCTCCGCTCAATTCATTTCTCACACGCCATCCGATTTACTGTTTTTTAGGTATGTAACACCTTCAAGTTTTGTTCTATATACATTTATAACCCTTTTTTACTTTCATTATTATAATAACCTAATTTTGTAATTTGTCCTATACCAATTTTCATTTGCTTCATTGATTGTTGTTGTTTTATTTTATGATCAATTTTATATTTAATATTTCATTATATGACATCATTTTTTCATTAATTCACATATAAATAATATCCCATGTATCTTGAAAAATGATTTCAAATATTTCACATAAAATTACATGAAAATCACATACCTCTCTTAGTTAATAATTTTTTGAAAACAATTGATTAATAATTACGATTTTAACTATGAAAATTTGTTTAATTCTTTAACCGTGATTCCCACGGGTTATAACCTAGTATATGAACAAACATAAGAGGTACTCTCCTAAGTCATTTTCTCAATTATTTTTTATATTTAATTAATTTTTAACTAAAACTTAAAAAATCATTAAAGAAATAACCAAATATATAATTTTCTCGTATAAATCGTGTTGGAGATGTTAGGCTAACTTTTCAAATTTCAAAATCTTTTCACAAATTTATTTAATAATACATTTTAATTATATAATCTTAATTTTAAAAACAGAATATATTTTTTTGCCAATATTTTTGCGCTTTCTGGTAACACAAATTTCAAGTTTCCACCTTTTTTCCACAGCCGCGAACGACCGATGGAAAGTCCACCGTCTCCGCCTCTGCCTCTGCCACTGCCTCTACCGCCGCCAATTGAGGCCGGCGTAGCCTCTACCGCGAACCCCAACTCTGGGGCCTCCAATCTTACTGTCGAGAGACACACTGAACCAAACTCCGCAACGCATGCCACGGTTATCAAGAAAAAGATGAAGAATAAAAAGAAAAGGAAGGACGTACCAAAATCCCACTCCGACGCTTCTTCTGATCCACCTCAACAATCGTTGAATTCCATTTCTTCTTCTTCTACGTCTAGTTCATTTCATCCAAGATCGAAAGGTATTCGTCTCTCAAGTAACCGCAGAAACCCTAGAGTTCTTAGCAGCCCCGTTTCGCAAAGACACGAAGGAACCGAAGCTGACGCGCTTGCTCTCCCTCTCGGAATGTCGATCGCTGCTTTTGTTGCTCAGGTTCTTACCGGCTTTCTTTTTGTTTTATTGTTACTTTTATCTTGAATTTGATCATACTTCTTACCACAATGTCGAATCTTTCCGTAAGCAATTGGGGAAAGCAAAATCGAAAACCTAGTCATAGAAACAATAGCGTCTATGTCACTAAAGTTTGTGTCTTTTCCTTTCTTGGTGTATGAACTTTCTTGGACGGATGAGTCGTGGCTCTGAATAGCTCATATAGCAAGTCAATTTCTTGGTGCAAACCAACAAGATGATGTCAAGAAATTGTAGTTTGTTTGTTGTAAAGGAGTCTGCGATTTGGTGTTATGTTTCAAGATTATAGTTTATCTAAACTCTTGCAATTTGATGGAACTTTAAATAGTTATGCAAATTTGCCCTTTCATGGTGCATCGACATTAACGATTTATAACATATCAACATCAATCTTTTGCTATTTTTTATATTTAATTTAGTATTCACTCTCTTATGTGTTGTTATTCGCCTTATTATGTATCAGGTGTTGGAAAAGAAAGAAGCAACTGGAGAAAAGATGTCTATAGATCATCTCTCCCAGGTAGTCATCTTACATATTCTGTAACCCTAATTTTAACTTGAATTTTCATTTAGTGCATTGCATCTTGTGCTCTCATGTTGACAGTTTTGGCTTGAACATCCTGCTGAGAGCTTTTTAGCTGTGGATTATATAAGGTGTTGGTACGTTTTAGAGATGTAATCAGTAATCACTAATTTGTGGATTAATCGTTGCTAAATAACCCCTTTTTTCCTAAATGAACAACCTTAATATATCTTTTTGTAAATCACATTTATTTGTTTTATGTACGTATGGATCTTATTCTGATCAGATATATCTATCTACTTGCAGATATGCACTTTGGCAGTTAAAGAATCATTGTCTCATGTAAGATATCACTTTCTCTTTAGATAATTATCCATGTTTTTTATTTATTTATTATGCTTGTTGTATTTATGATTTACAATGTTATTTTATAGGTTTTTGGCAACAAATTTGATTACTTTGTAAGCAACTTCGAAAGATCATTTCAGAGCACCTTGATGACACTCAGAGTAATCAATGAAACATCAGAAAACAGTAAAACATCATATCAACACGTGGAAGGGAGTTCAACCTATGATTTTCATTTTGATATGAAAGAAAACACATCCACAAGCCAAGAACAAGCCACCATTGTTTCCGAATACGAAGAAAACACACATAGAGATCATGTTTCCAATGAACTTGCAGTTCTTCATGATCCAAGAATCGGTCAACAGTTGACTTTAAACACTCCAAATCGACATCACATGCTTAGCACCTTTGAAAGGTCTTTATCAGAACAAGTTCGTTCAAATGATCTCAAAGCATTTGAACTCAGTCTCACTATGCAAAAGATGAAACTTAAAGAAGCACAAATCGCAGTCAATTGTGATTCAAATATCTTAGAAAGGTTTAAGTTATCAATGGGCATCTCAAAAGCCAACTTTAGAACCGAAAAATTCAAAACCGAATTAGAAGATTCGAGACACACACAACTCCTTAAAAAATGCGCCGATTGTCTCGTTGCTGGTTTGCTCATTATGCTTGCTGGTCTTGCTTATGGAACCTACATTCATTCCTATGAAAAACTCATTGAAGCCACAGAAACATGCACTCCCATCAAGGTAACAATCATAAATTCATATATTCACATTAAAGCCGTGTTTGGAAGACTACCTGATAGCTGAAAAGCTAGCTGGTAGCTCGTTAAAACTAGCATAAACTCAAAAAATAAGTTATGCGCGCCAAGCACAACCTAAATGATTTTTATGGTTTTTAGGGTTCGAATTCATGGTGGATTCCAAAGTCAATGGCGACATTTAGTTCGGGATTCCAAACCCTAAGGTGTCAAGTTCAAGTTATAGTCCGTTGGCTATTTGGGCTTTTAATGATTGTTGCAATCACATATGTACTCCTTCGAAGATCCGGTTCCACAAATCAAACAATGCCGATTACTTTTATCCTTCTCTTACTCGGTGGTGTGTGTGGTGTCGCCGGAAAATTTTGCATCGACACATTGGGTGGCAGTGGGTACCGGTGGTTGATTTATTGGGAGGTTCTTTGTTTGGTGCATTTTTTCTCAAATGTTTGTACTTCCATGTTGTTTCGTATTCTTCATGGGCCTGTTGCTGTTACTGTGACTGATGGGTCGATTAGCAGTAAGTTATGTCCATACTGGTTTAGGCGATTGGTGTTTTATGCCGTGGTGTTGGTTTATTTGCCTTTGGCTTGTGGGATGATTCCTTTTGCGGGGCCCGTTGAATGGTTTCGACATTTTGGGTTGATTGTGATGGGTCGGGTTGTGGGTCCAGATGAATGATGTTTGTAAAAATTGGAGAAGTATGTAAAGGAGAATGGGTACTTGTTCTATTTATGTTTTGTGATCGGTTTTTTGAATTTTGGTTGAGAAATTGATGTAAATGTGGTTTGGATTCACGAAGTGTGAGTTATTAAATCTAGTAATACTATGTTTAATCTTTTACAAGATGTAATCATTTTACAAATTTACCTTTTTTTTCTTTTAAGTGTCAATAGTTTCTTCCAAGACTTTTTAAACATCATTCATATATATAATTGTAATCGAGAAAAAACAGACAAGATATGACATGTATTGATTGCTTTGCCAAAAAAAAAAAAAGTATTAATATTTAGAAAAATCATTCACTAAAAGCTTAATATTGTGTTGTGTATCCCAACAATCTACCACTCAAATCCTTCATGGGCTGCCACAACTGTCTTTTCATAATGGAGCTTGACCATGCTAATCAACTCCTGGTGTCAAATTAGACACCTCATGAGTCATGTATCAAGTCTTAATCGTTTAAAACGTTTATTATTTTGATTCATACAAAAAACTTATATATTAATTTTTTTGTCTGGCTAAAACCTCTCATTATTTAAATTTATACGAAAAAACCATATATATATATATATATATATATATATATATATATATATATATATATAAAATGCAAGAATAACATAATCTCGCATATGAATCTTATTGTTAATCTTATTATTTTGATTCATACAAAAAACGTATGTATTAATTTTTTTGTCGGGCTAAAGCCTCTCATTTAAATCTATACGAAAAAAACCTTATATTAGATTTTTCTTGACATAAACTCGCATATGCATCTTATTGCTAATCTTATTATTTTGATTCATACAGAAAACTTATGTATTAATTTTTTTGTCCGACTAAAACCTCTCATTATTTAAATCTATAAAAAAAACCTTATATTAGATATTTGTGAATGCAAGAATAACATAAACTCGTATATGCATCTTATTGCTAATGTTAGGAAGGAGGGAGTTTTTCGGTCCTTCCTTCCCAACTCATTCAAATCACTGTCACGTTAGCTTTTTCTTCCATCCTCTCTTTCATATTTCCTAGCATACAACATACAGAAACTCTATTTTTCTCAACCCACTTGTCACATAATTATTTTTTATTTAATTGAATTAGAAAATATAAAATAAATTAAAACATAACATTTTTTCTTTGAAAATAAACTTTTGGTAATTTAAAACAAATATATATATATATATATATATATATATATATATATATATATATATATATATATATATATATATATATATATATATATATTAAAAACCACACTAGAGTTAATGCATTGTAAGATTGTTGCATCGGGAAATATGTTATGGATAATTTTGGTATTTTTGATAGTTTGGTTTTGAAATCCTAGAGAAGAAAATGAAATATAGTGATTTGAACCGCCTTACCTGGATTTATATATTTGGTTATAACCTGTCTTTTTAGCTTTGCCTCAGAAATCCATTAAAAGTAATTGAAGTGGAAAGTTTTTAGAGAAATTTATACCGAATAACTGGGATATCTTGATAAATATATACAAAAATATTAAAAATAAACAAAATAAAAAGGTAGATTTTGTCTTGTTCACGAGATGCATGACAACAAAAAAGGGCATGTTAATATATTTCTTTCACATGCATACATTGAACACAAATTCACAGGGTCTACCAACCCGCTGACAGCCAAATAACTCCTTGAACCCGTTACACTCGCCGGTCAAGGTATCACAACCACCGGTACCGCCCTAACCCACCATTAACCCACCGCGCGACTCCGTTCTCCCTTTGCACTCACTGCACGACTCCGTTCTCCCTTAGACGTATATTGTATTTTGTATGTTAGCATTTTTAGTATGACATTAGCCCATCTTATACGTAGCCCATGTAATGATGTATTATTGTACATATCGATCATGGTGGAATACAATGTAAAATTTATGGGAAAATATTAATTATTTCACAGCTAAAACCTAAAGAGAGCATAATCAGACGATTTCAAATAATGAGATAATTTAAATAGCCACAAATTTAATATATAAGATTTTAAAAGAATGTCTAAAATAATACTAATTATATGATTTTATGTTTTTCTGATTTGTCGTTTAATAATAGGATTTTTGCTATTAACTAGTAATTACGTTTCATAGTTATTTTATTTTGGATATCTCAAACATTTAAAAGATGTTAAGCTGTTCAACTTTGATTCTTATTTATTATTATTATTATTATTTTTAAAACAGTGTGTTGTTGAATATGAAAATTTTCTAAATGTATTTATCTTATGACCATCTTTAGAAGAAAATGCGATACCCATGCAGCTGCTGCTCTTCTAAGTTCTACCTCATCATCATCGATGACACTCGTCATCAATCATCTGGATATGGAATACATACCATTAACACTCGGATCACGACCTCACAAGTTGCTTTTTGAATGTCTGTCGATCAGTGGATTTAGACAAGCTTTACCTATCTCCTGATTCACAAATTAATATGAACGATCGATGAAGCTCTTTAAGGGTTACTTGCAGCAGAAGGGCAAGCTCACGGACAGCTTTTAATGGTGGATACTCATCAAGATATTCTCAGTGGAAATTTACAAATATGAACTGAAGTCTAAGAAACTGTGTAGGATGACAAGATCTAGCATCGGGATTCCGGAAGAAAAATCCCAATATTGTCTACTTAATGATTCATTGTTTTGAATTTTGATCACAACACTAGAAGAAAAATAAAATTTGGTTATTATTTAATAGAATTGTTTCAAATTTGTTGTCATCAATAATTTTGGCCAATGCAACCACTTCAACAAATAATGATATATAAAATACCCAATTTTACACTAAGAGAACAAGAATTAAAATTGAGTGATTAAACCTAGCTCTTCTTAACAAATATAATGATTATTTTGCAAGAAAAGCTATGAATATAAATATTAAAAAAGCCGTTCACTATAAGCTTAATTTATGTATGTAACTACCACTCAAATCCTTGACCATGGGCTGACACAACCATCTTGGCATCATGGAGCTTGACCATGTTAACCAACTCGGCACCATACCCAACTATGTGTCCATGATGCGGATCGTCAAAGCCTTGAGAGATCAGTCTTGTTGGTGTCGAATTCGACACCTGATCATGACTGGTACCAGTACCAATATCAGTATCAGTCGGTGGCTCAGATGTTCTCGTGTACTTGTTGAGATAACTCTTCAAACCACCAACGTAGTTTTCGAACCCAAGGGTTGTCATGGCCCACAACAAATCATCACCGTTGATTGTTTTTCGCTTCTCTCTCTGACATTTGTCTGAGGCTTCTCCGGTTATGAAACTGATGAACTCCGACACACACTCTTGCACCGTCTCTTTGGCTTCTTTAGATATTTTGGCATTAGCCGGGAGTGATTTTTTCATGATACGACCGACGTTGGCAATCGGGAGAAGCCGTTCTTGGTCTTTAGAGGATCCGTCAGAGACGTTGCTAGATGATGGGCTACCGGACGGGCTGATTTGGGTTCTTTTTCCTGTCATGAAGTTGTTGTGGAGTCTTAAGGGGTGCGGGATTATGACATGTTTATAGTGTCAAGAGTTGAGAATAATGAACATTTAAAAAGAGTGCAAAGGCGGTTTGATTTGGACATAAAATATAAAATAAGTTTACAATAAAGTTAATAAATGTCGGGTAAACGACTTTGATCATTATATTCGTATTTCGAGGTCGAAATAGTCATCGGAAATATTGTCTAAAACCAAACCTGGTATCTTCTTAGTACTCTTTATTATATTAACAAATATTGTGATTGGTTGAATTAGGAGTAAAATGATTAGAAATAATAATAATAAAACGATGGTTTACAAATCTATATTTTTTAATGAATAATTTAGTTTATTAATAACATGTGAAACCGGTTTGCAGCCTGCAGAGTCTTTCATATGATAGAATATATAATTATATTTTTTATTTAGTAAAAGATAGTTTATGAAAAATTTGGCTTTATTATACCACCAGTAAGACATTGCTTAAACCAAATTTTGTTTTCGGTATATATGGTGCTCCCTTTTGTCCCATTAAAACTACAAGGTGTTGGTTTATAGTTACCTATATTTAAATCAACTAAATTTATTCTTATGCAAATGTTGGTGATTTTAGTGTTATTAACATATTTTGGTGTAATTTTTGTTAATAATGAGATAGGCTGAGTGTCATTTACTAACCGAGTTTGGAGGTGTGGGGTGCACACTCGGTGTGACAAATGTGAACTCGGGAATACAGGGTCCGGGGGCAGCACCCCTGAGTGCAGGGTTCAAAGGGGCTGCAACCCCTTGACGGGGTCTAGGGGCAGCGCCCCTTGTGGGGTCTAAGGGGCAGAGCCTCGAAACCTAAACGGATTTTGCTTCGGGTGTGACTCCAGTCATGCAATTTTCCGCCAAAAACCTACTGATGACATCATAATGATGTAGGCATCGGTTGTGTCTAATAACTACCAAGTTTTGACGCCATTTTTGGTTTAACCGATTTTAACCACTTTTCCCTCAAGTATAAGAATTCTTCTCTGGTTTCAGAAAAAAGGGTTGGAACATTCATACACTCGAAATTACATTATAATTTCTCTATCTCTAAAGAATACAAAACAACAAGGTATATTTTCTATGTTTTGAATTTGGAAGTAGCTGTTTGATTTCCAAATTGCATCTCTTGGATTATCCCAAATCAGATTTCGTGATACCCCACGCATAAGGGTCGAAATCACAGATTTTGGAAAATGATTGCAATCACGATCCCAGAAATTATCTAAGTTAATTGATATTCTCCAGACCTGAAATCTAACATTCAAAATCTGTGGTTTTGTGAAGAATATCAATGGCAGAATTTGTTAAAGACATGACTTTCAAATTCGGGAAGTTGGACAAGTTTGAAGGCACCGATTCTCGTCACTGGCAACAGAAGATGCATATCCTTCTTACTACCCTGAAAGTTGTTCACGTTTTGAGCACTCCTGCACCAGAACCAATGGAGGATGAAACCTTTGACCATACCAGAAGAATATGCAAATGGGAAAATGATGAATATATTTGTCGTGGGCACATTCTAAATGGTATGTCTGACTCTCTCTTTGACATTTATCAAAATCAAGAATCTACAAAAGATCTATGGGATGCCCTTGAATCTGAATACATGGCAGAGGATGCCTCAAGTAAGAAATTCCTTGTTAGTAATTTTAATAATTACAAGATGGTGGATTCAAGGCTTGTCATGGAACGGTACAATGAACTCATGAGGATTTCGGGACAATTTGAATAACACAAAATGCAAATGGATGAATCCATTTCTGTCTCAAGTGTTATAGACAAATTGCCCCTGTCCTGGAAAGACTTTAAACACACACTGAAACACCAAAAAGAAGAGTTGTCTCTAGTACAACTTGGCAGTCACTTGAGAATTGAAGAGGGTCTTCGGGATTAAGAAAGTGGCAAGCGAAAAGAAAAGGAAGTTCCTGGATCTTCAGTGAACACGGTGGAAGATGACAAACATCTATAAAAATAACAAAGGAAAAATGAAGAAGAAAGATGACCATCATAAGGATTCAAACAAGAAAGAAAAACTTGTGTGTTGGAATTACAAAAAACCCGGTCACATGAAGCGAGATTGTCGTTTGAAAAAGAACAAAAATGGTGCAAGCACTTCTGGACAAGGATCTAATGATCAAGGTCCAAAACCACAAGGTCAGAATTTTATTTTTGAAATTACAACTATTGCTGTTATATATCATGTAATACTAATTCCTGAATCATTCTATGTTCAGGATGATGATCATGCATGGTAGATAGACTCGGGGGCGACGAGTCATGTATGTAAAGATCGCTCTTGGTTCAAGGATTATGAAGTAGTTAATGTTGGATCGATGTTGTACGTGGGAGAGCATAATAAAGCACATATTGTGGGTCGTGGTTGTGTTTCTTTATGTTTTAGTTTAGGAAAAACTCTTATTCTTAAGAATGTTATCCATGTTCCCTAATATTAGAAAGAATTTATGTAACGCCCGTGTTTCTGGGCTAAGCATTAATGTTGTTGTAATAGTCTAGGTTAACCTTTGTAACTCATTTTGAAATAATAAGAATGTGTTATTTGAGTATTATGTGTTTTGTGCTTAATTGTGTGTCTTAATTTAATTAAGAATAAAAATAAGCGTTAAAATAAAATATTAGATAAAGCTGATATCTATGGATAATGTTGTAGTAGTTGAAACGAGGTTTCGGAATATATAAAGAATGTCGAAATCCGAGTTATAACGAAGAAGTTATGACCTGTCGAAGTTTCGCGACAGAACCGGCACGACGCTGAATGACGTAAAATATGAATTTAAGATAGAGCGATATCTAGCCTTAGTGATCTGAACGAAAGTCGTAGAATACGTTAAACCGAGAGCGTGCATAAAAAGAACGTCTAAATCTGACTTCGTATGAGGAAGTTATGATTTTTCTAAGTTTCGACTTAGCAGTATGCAGCCCGAAGTTCGAATATGAGATCGAGTGATTTCTAGCCGAAACAATCTAAACGAGAATCGAAGATCTCGTCATTAGTAGTGCAACGGTGAAAAGACAGACAAAAACGGACGTCGGATGAAGAAGTTATGATTTTATAACGGAATTTTTCCTGTCCCGGCCTACTAAAAATAATATAATAAAAATAAAGTCAAAATTAGCCGATGGAGTCTAAACGAAAGTTGTAGAGCGTAGTCTCACCTACGCGTGGATATAAAGAACGTCGAAAACGGAGCTCGTATGCGAAACAAATGAATTTTTGAAGATCGTGGCACGCATACCAAAGCTTATCCGAAGGAGTTGCTGATCCGATCCGAACTACGCCCAGCGTACACCGAAGCGTGACCCGCCTCGCACTCAAGTGCTCCGATGACATAAGCGATGACGAATCCGGAGTACGCCCCGCGTACCGAAGCATTACGCCCAGCGTAATGCGAGGCTTCAGCCTCTATAAAAGGCATGCGAGGGCAGCCGAGATCTTTTGCTCCATTCTTCATTTCTCTCTCATTTTCACCTCGTTTTTCGTGCCAGAATTATCCCGAAGCCCCGGTATCATTCCCGAGCCCCGAAGCAAGTTCCGAAGCCCCGAAGATCCCGAGAAGTAAAGTTTCCGAGCCGAAACTTTGCCATCGAGAAGCCCGGTTTTCAAGGAAAACATCCCGGTTTTATCGGGAAAGTTTATTTTAAGAGACGAGGTGATGTCCGATCATTGTCTTATCAAGTGAGTGTATATTCGTTTTCTTCTAACACATAGATATGAAATATTCTTTATAAAATACGTGCTACGTGTTTATATATTATTTGCTTATTTAAACTAGTTGTTGAATGAATGTTTTGTACAGGTTTTAAGCTGTATATAAATGTATATATTTTATCTACTAATATGTTGGGTAGAACATGGGTAGACAGTTGGTGTGTGATGAAATAAAATGATGAGAGGCCTCGATGTTGTTGTTGATCTAGTCATCTAGCGGAGTATGGATGACGACCACGGACTCATTCCAGACAGTCCAGTGGAACACTAGCAGGTTTCATAACCTGTAGGTGTTGTGAACGATGTGTTCACCGGTGTACTCTATCCCCCTCATGGTTGCCTTTAGGACATTTATTGCTAAGGAAGCCCCTTTGCAGTAATGTCCATCCCGATGAAAATCCTAGATTAGGTCCCTTGTAATAGTTGTTGTTTTAGGGACATAAAGTGAGGATAACGGGAATGGGTAATCGGATTATTGTTGGTTGGTGAAATTAAATATAATTATTTATTGTGGGTCGAAAACCCTATATGCTCACCAGGCTCCCAAGCCTGACCCACTCAGTTTCTTTGTATTACAGGTAGTGGCGCAAGGGCATAAGTTGGATGACATTGTCAAGATATTTTTGGATCATAGACCTGTTGTTATATGTAATTGTTGCAAGGTCTATTTTGTATTGTTTATGCTTTTGGTCTGTATCGGAACATGACATCCCGAGATTTTGTTATATAATGAAAAATACATTTCTTTATGAAATGCTTTGATAAATTCTTATCATATTTTGTTTTGGGAACAAATTCCGCAACTCTTTTAATCAAAGGATTACTCTGATTTTATTTAAAAGCATAAATGAAACCAGTCTTTTCTGGCCGTGATTTTGGGGATGTCACAGTTGGTATCAGAGCATTAGTTTAAGCGAACTAGGAATTTGTAGGATTTCTAGACTTAAACTTAGAATGCTAAGCGATGATTTTGAGATGCGAGCACTAGTTATTTTAGGAAAATTGCCTAAAATGCTTTTATGTGCTAAATGTTATATGTTTGCCATATATGATATTATTTGTTCGGATCTATGGTTTGTTGCCGACCGGATCTGGAAACCTTATGTGTTTAGGATTCTAAGCGTGTGACTACGGTATTAGAACTAGCATATAAACGTTTCGGAGTGATTTGGATAATTATCTATCGTGAAGGGGGATCTAAATTCACCTTGTTCGGTGTATAGATCAACGATGG